TCCACGACATGGTGGCGGCAGCAACAATACTACAGCGAGAATCAAAGTTACGCCTTCTTTCTTTGCATGAACATTTGGGCGGTGTAATGCAAATCTTCCCACACAGTGATGTAGACATGTGGGGGCGTGTTCAAACGAGGCGTTTTAGCAGGGTGTGGACAAGTCTTCACTTTTATAAAGAATATCTCTTTGGGTTTGAGACTTTAGCCTTTGCAACTTTAGGGATCTTATCTATTCACGAACAGCTTGTAACACTCCAAAGAGAAAGGAAAACTTGAAATCGCATCATATGACCCCTTTAATACAGTAACTTTAACCCTGTAGTCATTTAACTGCATCGCAAACCCTAAAATCTTATTTAAACCTGTATTTTGGTAGTAAATTTGGTAAAATAGGTCATTGCCGATGTTGCAGGATGCTTGAAAATGCGTCATCACTGCCTAACGTTTCCGTGGCAACATCTGTCAACCAACCACTGCTCATAATTTCTTCCCTATCCACCAGCAAACATGTATCTTTACAAAACAGATCTTGTTTGTTTCAGAGGATATGCGCACAAAACAAAGACATCAAATGTGTATCTACAATCATCTCTTCCCAGAGTTCTTTTATGCCATTTATCTATTATAGCAATTCTTTTCTTCTCATGACCTGGTGCAAATTCCCTGGACATTTGTCTTAGCGCTGTATAATCCCCTCAGTAGAAGATGTTGTGATGTTACTGTACCTTGAGGCTGGCGTTAGAGCACTGATGACTGAGGTTATTGAATCTCCAGCCCTCCATCCCAGGAGTCTCGGCTCTGCCCTGGATGTCAGGTGTCAGTGAAGTGCCACCGCCGGACATGGGGAAGATTCCCAGAGACAGGGGCCGCTCTTTCCTGTTTAATGAGAGGAAGAAGACCAAAAATCATGATACAAACTAACCTGCATCATGTATTAATATTAATGTGTGTAATCAACATTTTTTCTAATGTTACTTAATTTTCTATAAACAATCATGCAAAAGTACTATTTAAAACAACTACATGATGGTGTCTGTTTCTTTTTAGCACAGATTAGAGGATTATGTTCATCTTACCGAACTCGGCCAATTGTTGCTGTGTCAGAGGCCTCTCCTCCCATCTGCTGTATCCGGATCCGTTCCACATGTTCCATGTAGTTGTGGATCATCTGAAGAACAATTTAACAAAACGTAGGCAGATTCATTGGCCTTAAAGAGTTACAGGTAGATACTACAGCTAAATGTGGTTATCAATTCATTCAAAAGTTTGAGGTCGGTAAGATTTTTTTGTATTTTTGAAAGTCGTCTTTTATGCTCACCAAGCTTGCATTTATTTGATCAAAGTAAAAACATTAATATTGTGAAATGTTATTAAAATAACCCTTGTATTTGAATATATTGTAAAGTGTCATTTATTCCTGTGATGCAAAGCTTTCAGCATTATTACTCCAGTCTTCAGTGTCACATGAGCCTTCAGAAATCATTCAAATATGCTGATTTGCTGCTCAAGAAACATTTATTATTATTATTATCAATGTTGAAAACAGTTGTGCTGCTTCATATTTTTGTGGAAACCATGACACATTTTTTTCAGGATTCTTTGATGTTCAAAAGAACAGCATTTATTTGAAATAAAAATCTATTTGAACCATTATAAATGGCTTTACTGTGCCTTTTTTATCATTTTTATGCATTCTTGCTGAATAAAAGTAACAATTTCTTTCAAAGAAATCTTACTAACCCCAAACTTTTGTAAAGTAGTGTATTTTCATTTAAATTCACTATTTGATTAATATATAATATGGTTGTCACTCCGAAAATTGCAGTGTGTGCATGGCCTTAGTCATTTACATGGTGTTGAATTTGCTCTCTCTTACCTCTGTATGCCGCAGATGAAGGGAATTATACTCGCGCTTGAGTTCAGCCTCTCGCTCCTCTAATCGACTTACTGAGAAAGGAGTAAAAATATATTAAAGAAATTAAGCATGATTAAAGAGTCTTTTTGCAAAAGATTTCAGTACTGTAGTTCCATCCACAAGTGTTTAAAATGTTTCTTTTTACTAGACTTGTGCTGGTATTCGGTAATGCGATATATCACGGTAATTAATATGCACGTATTCGGTAATGCGATATATCACGGTAATGTATATGCACGATATTGTTATCGTGGGCACTTGTAAATACCGTGAATAGTTATATATTACAAATTATTCCAAATTTTGAATGCATTTTAAGAACACTTTTCCCATCAACTGGTCAAAATGCACAACACCGCTGTATGCTGCGTGAAAGACGTGTGTGCACTCTGATGTAAACAAGCGCGGACGAGAAGTATATGGCGGAACATGTGAGAGACGCTATGGATGGAAGCGCACTTTCACTCTCTGACAGCAGATGAACTGCAGAAATAATAATAATAATAATTCATTTAAATGCAGCCGTTACCCCGGAAACCCTGTAAACAAAGCAGTTGCACTACTTCTTGTTTCTGAATCATGTTTAAATGATTTAAACAGTCATTCAGATTTGTGTATTTGCTATGATGTTCATCACAGCGCCAAATACTTAAATATTTAGACTTATTAGGCTATTTATTTTCAAACTTTTTTTTTACATTTTAATCTGGACTACAACATGCCCTAGATATTGTTTGAAAGTGTTTTGATTCTTTATTGTTCGGTCACACTTTACATTAGGGCTTCATTAGTTAACATTAGTTAATTCATTAGTTAAAGGTGCAATAGGTGATTGTCTTCAGAAACATTTTTTGTTATGCTGGTTGAAAGTCTCTT